AATGGGACAGAATAATAATCATAAATCAAACTTTCACTTTTTAATACTTGGTTGCAAATCCTTTGCAGTCAATGACAGCCTGAAGTGTGGAACGCATAGACATCCCCAGACGCTGGGTGTCATCCCTGGTGATGCTCTGCCAGGCCTCTACTGCAACTGTCTTCAGTTCCTGCTTGTTCTTGGGGCATTTTCCCTTCAGTTTTGTCTTCAGCAAGTGAAATGCTCAATCGGATTCAGGTCAGGTGATGGACTTGGCCATTGCAGAACATTCCACTTCTTTGGTGGCTTTTGCAGTCTGCTTTGGGTCATTGTCCATCTGCACTGTGAAGCGTCCAATGAGTTGTGAAGCATTTGGCTGAATATGAGCCGATAATATTCCCGAAACACTTCACAATTCATCCGGCTGCTTCTGTCAGCAGTCACATCATCAATAAATACAAGAGAAGCAGTTCCATTGGCAGCCATACATGCCCACGCCATGACACTACCACCACCATGCTTCACTGATGAGGTGGTATGCTGAGGACCATGAGCAGTTCCTTTCCTTCTCCATACTCTTCTCTTCCCATCACTCTGGTACAAGTTGATGTCGGTCTCATCTGTCCATAGGATGTTGTTCCAGAACTGTGAAGGCTTTTTTACATGTCGTTTGGCAAACTCTAATCTGGTCTTCCTGTTTTTGAGGCTCATCAATGGTTTCCATCTTGTGGTGAACCCTCTGTATTCACTCTGGTGAAGTCTTCTCTTGATTGGTGACTTTGACACACATACACCTACCTCCTATAGAGTGTTCTTGATCTGGCCAACTGTTGTGAAGGGTGTTTTCTTCACCAGGGAAAGAATTCTTTCGCTCATCCTCCACAGTTGTTTTCCGTGGTCTTCCGGGTCTTTTGGTGTTGCTGAGCTCACCGGTGCGTTCCTTCTTTTTAAGAATGTTCCAAACAGTTGTTTTTGGCCACGCCTAATGTTTTTGCTATCTCTCTGATGGGTTTGCTTTGTTTCTTCAACCTAATGATGGCTTCACTGATAGTGACAGCTCTTTGGATCTCATCTTGAGAGTTGACAGCAACAGATTCCAAATGCAAATAGCACACTTGAAATGAACTCTGGACCTTTTATCTGCTCATTGTAATTGGGATAATGAGGAATAACACACACCTGTCCATGGAACAGCTAAGAAGCCAATTGTCCCATTACTTTTGGTCCCTTAACAAGTGGGAGGCACATATGCAAATGTTGTAATTCCTACACCGTTCACCTGATTTGGATGTAAATACCCTCAAATTAAATCTGACAGTCTGCAGTTAAAGCACATCTTGTTCGTTTCATTTCAAATCCATTGTGGTGGTGTATAGAGCCAAAAATGTTAGAATTGTGTCCATGTCCCAATATTTATGGACCTGACTGTAAATCTCAGGACTGGATGGACTCAGTTGGCAGGTGATAGTGCTTCCCTGGATGTGTTTTATGTATTTAGCTGCTTGCCTGGAGCTGAGCGTTAAATCTTTGTGAATGAAACCTCTTCTCAGCCTGACGTTAATGGCACTGACTGGCCGCAGACGCGGTAGTAGCAACCGTCGCTGTTTGCCTGTAATGGGAGGGAAGCCTTGGCGGCCAGTGACCTTTGTACACAACAAATATCTGTATGTGTGCAAACACACCTCTTATCTCTCCGCCCCGTACTTTGGAATGTGTGGCGTTTTCGGGGTTAATCATTCATTTTACTACCGCACACACCCTAACGCCGTCTCTACGGCCGGAGAGTCGCCGCTGGAGAAGCGGCCTGTTGCCGGGAAGCCACCAAAACAAACACGCGTCGCGCCTTTTTCTGTGATATCACGGAGTACATTCCGGCACATTCCACGGACTGACGCCGAAGGGCTCCTAGAAACCCAGGAAATGCCCAGAATGGGGGGGGACATAAATAGAAAGATCAACAAAACAGACGCCACTCCCCCCCAAAAGAAAACAGAAAATTGTATTTAAAGTCAGTGGGCGCGTTCCTTTAACCCCTTTCCTGCCAGAGACATTTTGCGCACATCTAACATATCCTTGTAGGCTTGAAGATGAACTAAAACCCCCAAAAAATGAAAGCAGAAAGTCAGTAAATATACTAAAGTAAAAAGTAAGAAAAAAAATACACTCATGTTACGTTTGGGGCGCAAATGCAATATAATACCCAATTCTGGGGGTAAAAGATAAAAGATGAGGTTGTGCAGAGTAAATACAGGGCCTTGAAAAAGTCTTTTTCCCCCCCTGAAATGTCCCCCATGTTGTCATGTTACAATGTATCCCCCCTCTCCTGAAATGTCCCCCATGTTGTCATGTTACAATGTATCCCCCTCCCCCTTGAAATGTCCCCCATGTTGTCATGTTACAATGTATCCCCCTCCCCCGAAATGTCCCCCGTGTTGTCATGTTACAATGTATCCCCCTCCCCCGAAATGTCCCCCGTGTTGTCATGTTACAATGTATCCCCCCCCTCCCCCCTGAAATGTCCCCCGTGTTGTCATGTTACAATGTATCCCCCTCCCCTGAAATGTCCCCCGTGTTGTCATGTTACAATGTATTCCCCCTCCCCCCCCTGAAATGTCCCCCATGTTGTCATGTTACAATGTATTCCCCTCCCCCCCCCTGAAATGTCCCCCATGCTGTCATGTTACAATGTACCCCCCCTCCCCTGAAATGTCCCCCATGTTGTCATGTTACAATGTATTCCCCCCTCCCCCTGAAATGTCCCCCCGTGTTGTCATGTTACAATGTATTCCCCCCCCCTGAAATGTCCCCCATGTTGTCATGTTACAATGTATTCCCCCCCTCCCTCCCCTGAAATGTCCCCCATGTTGTCATGTTACAATGTATCCCCCCCTCCCTCCCCTGAAATGTCCCCCATGTTGTCATGTTACAATGTATCCCCCCCCCCTTAAATGTCCCCCCATGTTGTCATGTTACAATGTAATCCCCTCCCCTGAAATGTCCCCCGTGTTGTCATGTTACAATGTATCCCCCCTCCCCCTCCATGAAATGTCCCCATGTTGTCATGTTACAATGTATCCCCCCCCCCAATTCCCCCCCCCTGAAATGTCCCCCATGTTACAATGTATCCCCCCCCCTCCCCTGAAATATCCCCCATGTTGTCATATTACAATGTATCCCCCCCTCCCCTGAAATGTCCCCCGTGTTGTCATGTTACAATGTATCCCCCCTCCCCTGAAATGTCCCCCATGTTGTCACGTTACAATGTATCCCCCCCCCTCCCCTGAAATGTTCCCCATGTTGTCACATTACAATGTATCCCTCCCCTGGCATGTCCCCCATGTTGTCATGTTACAATGTATCCCTCCCCTGAAATGTCCCCCATGTTGTCACGTTACAATGTATTCCTCCCCCCCCCCTCCCATGAAATGTCCCCCATGTTGTCATGTTACAATGTATCTATCGGGATTGGATGTGATGGACCGACACAAAGCGGCACATAATTGTGAAATGGAAGGAAAATGAGAAATGGTTTCCAAATATTTGTGACCAATAAATCTGTGAAAAGTGCATTTGTATTCTGCCCCCCGGAGTCAATACTTTGTAGGACCCCCTTTGGCTGCAATTTCAGCTGCAAGTCTTTTTGGGGATGTCTCTTTGCACATCTAGAGAAGGACATTTCTGCCCATTCTTCTTTGCAGAATCCCTCAAGCTCTGTCAGATTGGATGGAGAGCGTCTGGGAACAGCAATTCTCAGGTCTGGCCACAGATTCTCCATTGAATTTGGGTCTGGAACTGTGACTGGGCCATTCTAACCCATGAAGATGCTTTGATCGGAACCATTCCATTGTAGGTCTGGCTGAATGTTTCGGGTCGTTGTCCTGCTGGAAGGGGAACCTCCGCCCCGGTCTCGTCTTCTGCAGACTCTAACAGGTTTTCTTCTAAGATTGCCCTGTATTTGGCTCCATCCATCTTCCCATCAACTCTGACCAGCTTCCCTGTCCCTGCTGAAGAAAAGCATCCCCACCACATGATGCTGCCACCACCAAGTTTCACGGTGGGGATGGTGTGTTCAGGGGGATGGGCAGTGTTAGTTTTCCTCCACACGTAGTGTTTTGCTTTTAGGCCAAATAGTTCAATTTTTGGTCTCCTCTGACCAGAGCCCCTTCTTCCACATGTTTTCTGTGTCCCCCACATGGCTTCTCACAAACTGCAAACGGGACTTCTTATGGCTTTCCTCCAACAATGGCTTTCTTCTTCCCACTCCTCCATAAAGGCCAGATTTGCAGAGAGCACAAATAGTTGTCCTGAGGACAGGTCCTCCCCCCTGAGCTGTGGATCTCTGCAGCTCCTCCAGAGTTCCCATGGGCCTCTTGGCTGCTTCTCTGATGAATGCTCTCCTTGCCCGGCCTGTCAGTTCAGGTGGACGGCCATGTCTTGGTAGGTTGGCAGTTGTGCCATTTGTCCATCTGTTGTTCCAGTCCTTGCTGACGTCACTTCCGCCCAACAGAGCATTGCATTCCATGCTGGTTTTGAGCGGCTCTACACAGCATCCCCAGTAATTCCCAATTGGAACATATGTGTAGAGCCCTCCTAGGGTAGGATGCTAGGCAAATTTCGTGTTTGGCTCCTTTTGTAGTCAAGGGAGCAGTGATTGCTTGTTCTTGTCTGTTCAGGGTTTCACAGGCTGAGTTTGATTGCCTCTGGAAGAAGCTTCCTATCTTATCTGATCCTCCCCTTCTTCCAGTGTCTCCTAAATATCTTCTGATAGAATAGAGGCTCGGGGGCAAGCTGCACATGCTCAGTTTGGTGTGTATTGCTAGAGAGGTTTTTTTTTTTTCTTGGGAGAGTGTATGTGATCAGCACAGGGCCAATCAGCACTGTCCAGACAGAGGTCAGGGGTCCCTGCATCCTCCTACAGGAGAATAAAACTCCTACTACTGCTATATACTGCTGATGAGAAAAGGTATTTAGCAGTTTATATTTTACTAAAATAATTGCATTTCCATGTTCTGTGTACTGTGGGAGAGCGGATATAGTGAATGCGGGGTCCGGGGAGAGCGGATATAGTGAATGCAGGGTCCGGGGAGAGCGGATATAGTGAATGCGGGGTCCGGGAGAGAGGTGGATATAGTGAATGCGGGGTCCGGGGAGAGCGGACATAGTGAATGCGGGGTCCGGGGAGGCGGATATAGTGAATGCGGGGGTCCGGGGAGAGCGGGACATAGTGAATGCGGGGTCCGGGGAGAGCAGATATAGTGAATGCAGGGTCCGGGGAGGGTGGATATAGTGAATGCGGGTCCGGGGTTTAGTAACACTTTAATGACACTTTAAGACAAACAAGGAGAGCTGATAGCTCAGTGTTACAGAGGAGTTCTGGTTACAAAAGAGTGACTGAACTTCCACAAGACATTGTGAATTATGCACTTACATAGTGGACAAGTTGCAATTGGCCAAATCTGGAAAAAGAAAAACTTTTTTCCAGAAATAGAGGAATCTGGATCTCAGAAAAGTGGCAATTGGAAGCCTGGATCATGGTGCAGCCAGTGCAATGTCCTAGTTGTTCGGCATCCATAGAGCTGGGAATTGCATGGTCATGCTGTAGAAGGTAATCCGGGACTGACAACCACCCGGACACACAGGAGGTCTCATGACAAAGCTTGTTTTGGGAGACATTTCACAATACTGTACTAAGCAGTTTTGGAACAGTGTTGCCATTGTGCCATTTGACTTCATAACAGTGCTCTCATTCTTCGCAGAACCAGCCGGCTCTGAGGTCCGCGGCACACAAAGCCTTATGGGTTGGTATTCACAATCTCATGGCTGTAGCTGCTCTTCCAATGCAAAGGTTCCCCATACACTCTCAAGCTGGTGAACACAAAAAAAAAAACGAACTAAACCGTAACATCTCGGGTTTTTATTACGTGAGTTGCAAATACAGATGTAAAGCCGCACTACGGCATCAAGGCAACTCTGAGGCTCCACACACGTGGGGCGGTTTAATAACGCTGGTAACCTTAGGTGTGTAAGGTTTTTACGCGTTCGCGTTTTTTAGCATATTTGTATTGGCGTTTAGCAGCATTTCTTTGTGTTTTTTATTCACGTTTGCGTTTTTTTGCGTTTTTAAGCGTTTTTGCATTCGCATTTAGCTGCGTTTCTTTGTGGGGCTTTTTTTTGCATTTGCGTTTTTTAGCGTTTTTGTATTAGCGTTTAGCAGCATTTTGCCATATTTTTTGCGTTTGTTTTTTGAAAAATTATAATTTTTGGTTATAAACTAATTTGGCTTATTTTATTTTTTGTTGCTAAAAAGATAGCCAAGATTTATGAAGAAAGATTATTTATTTGCAAAATTTTATAAAAAAAAAAACACCTTTTTGGCAAAATGTTCGGACTTTTTCATTTACATAGCAAAAAAAAAATTTAAATCCCAGTGGTGAAAAAATACCACCAAAATAAAGTTTTATCTGTCTCAAAAAAATGCTAAAAAATTCATATGAGTACAGTGTTGCATGACCGCGCAACTGTCATTCAAGGTGTGACAGCGATGAAAGCTGAAAATTGGTCTGGACAGAAGGGGGTGAAAGTGTCCGGACTGGAAGGGGGTGAAAGTGTCCGGACTGGAAGGGGGGAAAGTGTCCGGACTGGAAAGGGGGGGAAAGTGTCCGGACTGGAAGGGGGTGAAAGTGTCCGGACTGGAAGGGGGGGAAAGCGTCCGGACTGGAAGGGGGGAAAAGTGTCCGGACTGGAAGGAGGGGGGAAAGTGTCCGGACTGGAAGGGGGGGGAAGTGTCCGGACTGGCAGGGGGGGAAAGTGTCCGGACTGGAAGGGGGGGAAAGTGTCCAGACTGGAAGGGGGGGAAAGTGTCCGGACTGGGAGGGGGGGAAAGTGTCCGGACTGGGAGGGGGGAAAGTGTCCGGACTGGGAAGGGGGGGAAAGTGTCCAGACTGGAAGGGGGGGAAAGTGTCCGGACAGGAAAAGGTGAAAAGTGTCCGGACTGGAAGGGGTGAAAGTGTCCGGACAGGAAAGGGGGGGAAAGTGTCCGGACTGGAAGGGGGGAAAGTGTCGGGACTGGAAGGGGGGGGAAGTGTCCGGACTGGAAGGGGGTGAAAGTGTCGGGACTGGAAGGGGGGGGAAAGTGTCCGGACTGGGAGGGGGGGAAAGTGTCCGGACTGGGAGGGGGGGAAAGTGTCCGGACTGGGAGGGGGGGAAAGTGTCCAGACTGGAAGGGGGGGAAAGTGTCCGGACAGGAAGGGGGGTGAAAGTGTCCGGACTGGAAGGGGGGAAAGTGTCCGGACAGGAAGGGGGGGAAAGTGTCCGGACTGGAAGGGGGGAAAGTGTCGGGACTGGAAGGGGGGGGGAAGTGTCCGGACTGGAAGGGGGGAAAGTGTCGGGACTGGAAGGGGGTGAAAGTGTCCGGACTGGAAGGGGGGGAAAGCGTCCGGACTGGAAGGGGGGGAAAGTGTCCGGACTGGAAGGGGGGGAAAGTGTCCGACTGGAAACGGGGGGGAAAGTGTCGGGACTGGAAGGGGGGGAAAGTGTCCGGACTGGAAGGGGGGGAAAGTGTCCAGACTGGAAAGGGGGGGAAAGTGTCCGGACTGGAAGGGGGGAAAGTGTCCGGACTGGAAGGGGGGGGGAAAGTGTCCCAACTGGAAGGGGGTGAAAGTGTCCGGACTGGAAGGGGGGGGAAAGTGTCCGGACTGGAAGGGGGGTGAAAGTGTCCGTACTGGAAGGGGGGGAAAGTGTCCGGACTGGAAGGGGGTGAAAGTGTCCGGACAGGAAGGGGGGGAAAGTGTCCGGACTGGAAGGGGGGAAAGTGTCGGGACTGGAAGGGGGGGGCAAGTGTCCGGACTGGAAGGGATGAAAGTGTCCGGACTGGAAGGGGGGAAAGTGTCCGGACTGGAAGGGGGGGAAAGTGTCCGGACTGGAAGGGGGGGAAAGTGTCCGGACTGGAAGGGGGGGGAAAGTGTCCGGACTGGAAGGGGGGGAAAGTGTCGGGACTTTAAAAAGGAAGGGGGGGAAAGTGTCCGGACTGGAAGGGGGGGAAAGTGTCCGGACTGGAAGGGGGGAAAGTGTCCGGACTGGAAGGGGGGGGAAAGTGTCCGGGAACTGGAAGGGGGGGGAAAGTGTCCCGACTGGAAGGGGGTGAAAGTGTCCGGACTGGAAGGGGGGGAAAGTGTCCGGACTGGAAGGGGGGTGAAAGTGTCCGGACTGGAAGGGGGGGAAAGTGTCCGGACTGGAAGGGGGGGAAAGTGTCCGGACTGGAAGGGGGGAAAAGTGTCCGGACTGGAAGGGGGGGAAAGTGTCCGACTGGAAGGGGGGAAAGTGTCCGGACTGGAAGGGATGGAAAGTGTCCGGACTGGAAGGGGGAAGTGTCCGGACTGGAAGGGGGGGAAAGTGTCCGGACTGGAAGGGGGGGGGAAAGTGTCCGGACTGGAAGGGGGGGAAAGTGTCCGGACTGGAAGGGGGGGGAAAGTGTCCGGACTGGGAAGGGGATGAAAGTGTCCGGACTGGAAGGGGGGGGAAAGTGTCCGGACTTGAACTGGTTAACCACCTTTGGACTTTAAGGACTTTACTTGTGTGGTTACTATACCCGCCATCACAGTATAACGTCTGTCTTTTTTTTTTTTCTTCTTAGTGCTCCAAATATTTCTCTTCTTCTTGGACAAAGCACCTACCTGGACCCTGGAACTAGACAGAGTCCATCAGGTGGGCCCTAATGCCGGCCATAGACAGGTCGAAAATTGGGCAATTTTTGCACCGTTAGTGGGTTAATTGGTCGTCTGTTGTTTTTCTTCGGGTTTTTGCACATTTTTTTTATGGGCATGTTGGAAAATTCACGGCCAATTTTGACGATCGGAAGATTTTCCCGGCAATGATTGGCAAATCGGCCGATCGATCGTTTTTACCCATAAAAAATCTGCACATGAGCCGTGACCTGGAAGAAGGAGAAAAAGAAGGAGGAGGAGGAGAAGGAGGAGAAGAATTCCAATCCGCTATTATATTTTTTATATATGAATAAGTCTTGCGGTTGCAACAAATGTATCCATCTGTATCCAAATAAAAACATTGTAATCCAAATAATGCATTTTTTTATTTGGCTACAAATGGATACATTTGTTGCAACCGCAAGACTTATTCATATAATATATAATAGCGGATTGGAATTCTTCTCCTCCTTCTCCTCCTCTTCTTCCTTCTCCTCCTCCTTCTCCTCCTCTTCTTCTCTTCTCCTCCCTCCTCCTCTTCTTCTCCTTCTCCTCCTCCTCCTCCTCCTCTTCTTCCTTCTCCTCCTCCTCCTCATCTTCCTTCTCCTCCTCCTCCTCATCTTCCTCCTCCTCCTCTTCTTCCTTCTCCTCCTTCCTCCTCATCTTCCTTCTCCTCCTCCTCATCTTCCTCCTCCTCCTCTTCTTCCTTCTCCTCCTCCTCATCTTCCTTCTCCTCCTCCTTCTCCTCATCTTCCTTCTTCTCTCCTCCTCCTCATTTTCCTCCTCCTCCTCTTCTTCCTTCTCCTCCTCCTTCTCCTCCTCATCTTCCTCCTCCTCCTCCTCCTCCTCCTTCCTCCTCCTCCTCATCTTCCTCCTCCTCCTTCTCCTCCTCATCTTCCTCCTCCTCCTTCTCCCTCCTCCTCCTCCTCCTTCTCCTCCTCATCTTCCTCCTCCTCCTTCTCCTCCTCCTCCTCCTCCTCCTCCTCATCTTCCTCCTCCTCCCTCATCTTCCTTCTCCTCCTCCTTCTCCTCATCTTCCTTCTCCTCCTCCTCCTCCTCATCTTCCTCCTCCTCCTCTTCTTCCTTCTCCTCCTCCTCCTCCTCATCTTCCTTCTCCTCCTCCTTCTCCTCATCTTCCTTCTCCTCCTCCTCCTCATTTTCCTCCTCCTCCTCTTCTTCCTTCCTCCTCCTCCTCCTCCTTCTCCTCCTCCTCCTCCTTCTCCTCCTCATCTTCCTCCTCCTCTTTCTCCTCCTTCTCCTTCTCCTCCTCATCTTCCTTCTCCTCCTCCTCCTTCTTCTCCTCCTCCTCCTTCTGCTTAGGAGCCATATGAAGGAGCACACTGGCCGCTTGCTTTCGACAGATCCATAAACATTAGCAAAATAAGTGCTTGTCCTTTTTTCTGTCCTTCGCATCATTTTGCTGCTAAAACTTTCCTTGTTTTCCTCCAAATTAAAGAAAAACATTTTATAAGGGGAGTTGTGATAATAAAATGAAAGAAAATCTTAGAATGCAGACAGATTGGTAAAAGAAAGACAAAAAGTTACTTAAATGTAGAAACCTCCTTATGTTTTTGTTACATTTTTATTACTAACTGCTTTGTTTTGTTTGCGGTCTACGCTGATAAAAATCACATTTAACCTGAAATTCCAGCTCATTGAGGGAAAAAAACAAACGTTTCTACTGCTTGCATACTAACACATGCGATTCCATGCGC